GGGAGCCCGATGCGGGACTCGATCCCGGGACTCCAGGATCATGACCTGAGCCGAAGGCAGTCGCTTAACCGACTGAGCCACCCAGGCGCCCGAAACAACAGGACTTTTGCCAGGAGGCAAGGGAACGAGGTGTCTGATCTTGAAGGGGCTTGGGGCCTCACGTCACGCAGGGACTGCAGTGAACAAAGAGCAGGTAGAGAGGAACGACCTGTGAAAATGCTTTAAACCTCTGGCCTCCAACAAGCAGTGCCAGGTTTTCTTTTAAGCGCTCATGGAGGCGGGAGCTCCTTCCAGCGAATACTGCGTCATGTGGTTGTAGACTGGCAGAGAGACCCATTTATACTAGTAATTTCTCCTTTTTTCCCCCATTTCAGCACATCTCGTTGAATCTTCATGAATGAAATGATGCTGTGCCGCAGATCAGAAATGTATAAATGCACACTGAGACCTGGGGAGCTAACCCCCACTTTCCAGCTGCCCAGACCACCCAGCCATCAGGTCCTTACCTCAGAACACATGGTAGTGCACTGTCGAGCACCATGAAGTGACCGCCTCTGCCGGGCACACGTGGCCCTCTGCAACACCAGGTCACATATCTGCTTACTGGGTGGATGCATTTGCTAAGCCTGTGGCAACCAGACGTCACAAATGGAGTGGCTTAAAACACAGGAATGTATTGTCTCGCAGTTCTGGGGGCAGAGGTCCAAGATCAAGGAGCGGACAGGGCCACGCTTCCTCCAAAGGTCTCTCCTAGCTTCTGGCAGTTCCTTGGCTTGTGGAAACATCCCGCCAGTCTTCACCTGGCATCCTCCCTGTGTCTATATCTGTCTCCCAATTTCCCCTCATAAGGACACGAGTATTTTGGACACATTACTTTATCTCTGAGGCTACTGCTTTTTTACTTTCATGGGAAAACTCAAGTTTATAACAGGGTTAGGGGTCCACCCTACTCCAGTATGGTCTCATCTTAACTACTGGCATCTGCAACAACCCTGTCTCCAAATGAGGTCACATTCTGAGGTACCAGGGGTTAGGACGTCAACTTCAACCCAAAACACTCAATTTGCGGGCGCCTGGGTGGCTCAGTTGGTTAAGCAACTGCCTTCGGCTCAGGTCATGATCCTGGAGTCCCGGGATCGAGTCCCGCATCGGGCTCC